CAGCTAGAGATGAGGGAGGTCAAGAGGCAATCGGAGACCTCTGGGCAGGCTTCACTTCCACACCGCACTGGCTGAGTAGGACAGGAAGCACCTCGCACCCTTCTCCTCTCCCGCACAGGAAGCGGTCCTGTCCAATCCGGTGGAGAGGCTCCAAACAACACGGGCCGGCCGAGTGAGCGGGACCGGACCCGCGTCACGTGGAGCCATGGCGACGGGGCGACGGGGGTGACGGGGTGGGCCCGTACTCACTTCATGGAGGCGTCCCCCACGCTGAGGCAGCCCCGCAGGCTGAGTTGGCGCAGGAAGCCCCCACAGCGTTTGGAGATGTTCTCCACCACGCGGCCCTGTGGGGACAGCAGCAGAGTTCAGCCCCCCCCCCACTCCCAGCCTCCGGACCCCCGCCGATCCACCGGCAAGAGTCTCGAGAGCCGGGGGCCCGTGCACGCACTCTGCACGACTACCGGAGCACACCAGCAACGGTCACGCTCACCGCTGGTTTAGATCCACCGGCCCGCCTGCAGACTCGCCCAAAGAAAGGTACCAAGCGTGAAATACAGCACCCGACACGACACCAGATTATGTAGGAAACCCTGCCGGTCACCGACTAGTCCTCACAGAAAAAGTGAGCAATAACACAGGGCAAAAGAATCCCCAAACTTTTTCAATGTATAATGTGTCACAATTAACCCGGCAGTTAACACGAAGCATGGCATTCCTGACCATTATCACGGCACAGACACAAAGACCTAATCATCCCCTGTGCAGACTGCTGTGGGACGCTCTGCCACTCCTCCTATCCAGCTGCTGCCAGCTGTTGAAGGCTGATTAAGATATTGTCTCCTGTTGATGGCACTGGTGGGTTATTCCCACTGGTGTTAAGACTCAGCACGGCTTTCCTGAAGCGATGCCATCGTAATACTCGCACTGTGAGGCCTCGCATTGTCCTACTGGAAAATCAACACTTCCGGACTGACTTGCAGGAACAGACAAATTACTTCAGGGCCTGAAGGACTCTGCCATGTCACTGAGCAGTAAAGTTACCTTCAATTGGCACCTAAGGCGTTCTTGCGTTGAACCCGTGTTGTTTTATATAGCTTCGTAACTAATTTTAAAGAATTTTACGTAAACACAACAGAACACTGAACACGTGGCATTTTTATAGAATCATATGCCTTCAGTTCTGTATTTTGTTATCCCAAGGAATAATACTACCATAACAACTGATCTGCTAACTACTTAAAAATGTAAATAACATTGTGTACAGTATGCGCCTAATCAGCTATTGCTGTACATTTGAGTATTTAGCATTTATATTGTGCCTCTGTAGATGAGTATAATACAATTGTTTCTGCCCTTGTTATTGGTGTTTGTAGTACAAAACGATGCTGGAAAGATAATGTATAGGAACTTCCCCTTTGGCAAATTCTGCCTTCTTATTTTACAATTGTACAAACATGTCTATGTCTCATGTATAATAACGTTCTCTTTAAGCTCAGAAAGAAGATGAAAGACAACAGAGGTACAAAAGAAACTCTTCCACTTGCTCACTTTGAAGAAACTAAAGATGGAGGGAGGTGTGCCAGTCTTCTATCCCCTTGCGGGGTCGAATTAGTGTGTTACGCTCCTGACTGCTTCATTTGAAGCCTTCGTATAAATGCTCTGTCCTCTGTCACTCCTATGCTCAGCGATATTCCATTGGTTGGTGACTTCTCTTAGAAATGAAAGGCTACTAACAGGCGACAGCATGATTCATTTGGTCCCTGCCAGAATAAATGAGTACTGGGATTGAATTCAACCAGTTCAGCACTAGAAATTCCCCCTTGACTGAATTCCACGAGACTCAGTATAGTTAAATAAAGAGGTGTCAGATAAGACGTGGAGCTACTCTCTGGGCTGTAAGATAACAGCGATGCATGTCTTATTTTAACTGCAGTTGTACCACTAGATTCAAACCATTTCCTTTTGCCCTAGAATGATGATGTGGTAACCTTGGGTAACCTTTTCCTGGACACTCCACTCAAAGCGCTTTACAGGAAATGGGGATCCCCTCCACCACCACCAGTGTGCAGCCCCATCTGGATGATGCGACGGCAGCCATAGTGCGCCAG